TAATAAGACACCTTAAATATCATTATTTTGATATTGATAAGATTGATAAAGATTTCTATTTACCTTTCCTAAAGCCTTGCAAGGTCATAAATGCAAAAGATGTTGACTTCATGTATGTAGAGCTCATTCAACGCTGCAAACAGCTGTTCCTCACCCAGATGGACACTATTGATGACCACATTTACCAGATGCCAAGCTTCCTCCAGTCTATTGCAAGTGTCTTGCTTTACCTGGATACAGTAAGTGGAATAATTACTTAAACTGAGCATAACTTATTTAATCTCAGTTCTTCAATAACTTGATGGAATTGTATGAACAGTATGCACTCAGTACAGGCCCCGTTATGATCAGGGTGACATTTTTAATTAGTATTTTGTGTCAGTGGAATTATAGTCATGAAACCTGACTTTTTGTTACCCACAGCAGGAAAAGTTATTTGTTACTCTTTCTGCCTTTCTAAAGGTTAATTAAGATCGCTGCTTGGGAAAGAATTTCATTTTAAGTATCATTCAGACAGTTTTTCTCTGATTTTTAAAAATGTAATCACAATAATAAATGTTAAATTTATTAGTAGATGTAGATAACAAACCAGGTTTTTTATTGATCTAATAGTGTCTACTGGGTTGTAATTAATTTGAATATTTGTGTTATTCCCATATTTATTCATTTCCTTCCCTAACTTTTAGTTTGCTCTCCATTTCTAATAGGTCCCTGAGGTGTATACTTCAGTTCTGGAACATCTCATGGTGATACAGATAGACAGTTTCCCACAGTATAGTCCAAAAATGCAGTTGGTATGTTGTAAAGCCATAGTGAAAGTTTTCCTAGCCTTAGCAGAAAAAGGACCAGTTCTCTGGAATTGCATTAATACTGTGGGTAAGTTTGGAATTCACTTTTGTTTTCATAATGAATAATGAACACTTAACATGTTTTATGATATAGATGAAGAACATCAGGTTGCCAAATTCTTTTGTATCTTTTGATGTCTCTTGGAGAACTCCATATATTTTGGTGGACCAAAATCTCTTTTTTCTATGCTTTTTTTGAATCTTCCTTGTGCTTCTGAATCTGAATAGTACAGATTTAACAAACTCTAAGTTTGTTAAATTAAAGATTTTAACAAACTTAGAGAAAAAAATTGAGAAGTAAAGTTATGTTAATACAAAGAATGACTATCATTTTTGTTGTTTGGTTGTATTTTTCATTGTTTACTTCATTTTTGTTTTTGTTTTCTTTTTTTCAGTGCATCAGAGTTTAATCAGAATATGTTCTAAAGCAGTGATCCTTCAAAAGGTAAATTCTGAATCTAATGTTTTGAAAATTAGAACTTTGTCTCTGAAAGTTAGAAATGTTTCTGGACTTTGTAGTCTGTAATATATAAAAGTGGCCTTTTTAGTTATTAGCCATGCTGTACAATTTGGAAAGTTAGGATTAATAGCTCTATAGCTCTATATTTTTTTCAGGTGAATAAACTCCTAAGTTATGAAATATCCTTAAACATATTTACTGTTATATACAACTTTTTACAAATAGGGAATATTTTTTTCTCTTGAAATTTTAGGACAAAATACTTAGGTGTATTATGGAACACATCTTACTTAACTTGAAGTTACAGGATGAGATGAGAGATAGGCCTGTATAAGAAGGTGAGGTAAATGCCTTATAACACATCCCATGGATATTGTTTTTGAAATATTAGCACATCACTCTTTTAGTCCCAGTGAGAAGAATCCTGTTTTCAGCTTGCCTTTTTATTATGCTTTCATAATGTATTATCTTCTTCAATCATACTATAGTCTCCTACTGGTAGCTGATTTAGCTTAGAAAATTCAGAAAATCAGGAAGTTCTGGCAGCAATGCTTACTTTGTGACTTCATTAGTAAATATTGGTGTGATGTCTTCCTGTCCAGGGTGCTGAGTCTGAATTGGAAGACCATCGTGCATCAGGGGAAGTTAGAACTGGCAAATGGAAAGTACCCACATACAAAGACTATTTGGATCTTTTTAGAAATCTTCTGAGCTGTGACCAGATAATGGTAAAAATGACAACTTTAAAGTCATAAAATACCCTTGTTCCTCTGTATTATGTGCATAGTTTATATACTTAAGAATTATTTATTTCAGAATTATATTTTTCTGACTTTTAGTCATTTATTTAGAAAGTACTACAAGTAATAAAAAATCAAAACAGTGTAAGTTAGGATAAAATGAAACTAGAAAAAAGTAAATTAAAAGGAACAAAATTATTGGTCAGTGCAGTGGAAGAATATTTCAGAAAAAAAAAAAGTGATCAGAAGCTTTTAATCTCTCTGCAAATTAAACGCCAAAGGAAGAAATGGGCTAGCTACCTTTGCTTTCAGGGTCGAGTAGTAAGAGGATCGAGAGAGGAAAAAACCCAATGTGACTATTCCCGCATAGTTTCTCTGGTGAGATAGGGCTCTCCTCTGGAGTTTTGGGTGCCTGGTTAGCCACCGCTGCCATTGCCACCACCACCACAGCAGGATTGCCTGGAAGCTGAAGCCGTTAGAGAATAAAACCAGGCTTTCCTCCTCTAAAAAAAAAAAAGGAGCTAAATTATAGAGAACTCATTTAAAATTAATTACTGAGTTCATGTTTTAGCTTTAAGTATTAGTGTAATGTAGTTGATGCTGTTTTTCTTTCTAATAGATCCAACCAAAAATATAATAGAGCTATTCTTTTCTTCTTTGTTAAAGATGAAGATAAATCCAATTGACTTAATAGGTATGAAGGAGATTGGTGCACAGCTATTATTTATATCATCTATGATTAGAGTAATGCCTCCTGCCTAATATGTTTCTAGCAGATGTTTTAAAGTCAGGTTCTGGCCACCATTTTAACAGACTGACAAAGCATTAACAGACTAGAAAAAACAATTTTTGGCAGTAGATGATTTCTATTCTGTGACAAATCTCAGGAGTTTTTAGTTGTTTTCTTATTGAGGTAAAATAGTAGTGTTAGTAATTTTACCTAAAACATTTTTTTCTCATATGATGTTAAATAGCCCTATATTTTGAGGTTAAGTTCCATAGAATATTTGACTGAGTCTTTACTCAGTAATTGGCCTATATTTTTGAAATGGTAAAATAGTTTCACTTTTAGAGAAATGATAGATGATGCTTTTAAATCCATTCTGAGGATAGATATATATTTATCTAGATCAGGGGTCCTCACACCTTTTAAACAGGGGGCCAGTTCACTGTCCCTCAGACCGTTGGAGGGCCGGACTATAGTTTAAAAAAAAACTATGAACAAATTCCTATGCACACTGCACATATCTTATTTTGAAGTAAAAAAACAAAATGGGAACAAGTACAATATTTGTATTTGCATGTGGCCCGCGGGCTGTAGTTTGAGGACCCCTGATCTAGATACATGTATGTGTGTATGTACATATGGTATGTGTGTATAGTATGCAAGTGTATACACACAAACACACAAATTAATTGGGGGAAATGCTTTGATAAGGATTGGCCTGAATCTTCTTATTTATTACTATGTACCTAGTATTTGCTACATGACTGGATAATAATATTATCTGACCAAAATGATATTGTCCTAATAATTTAGGAAGGTGTCTCCAATTTGAGCTTGTAAACTTCCAGATAAGTCTGTTACAGTTTATACAGCATTTTTATAATACCTAAATATGCATGTACATCTGTATATATTTTAATGCATATTTAGTACTAATTTTGATACTTTTATGGACAAAATTTTGTTTATGATTTTTTTAAAGGATTCTGTTTTAGCAGATGAAGCATTTTTCTTTGTGAATTCCTCCCTTCAAAGACTGAATCGCTTGCTATATGATGAATTTGTAAAGTCTGTTTTGAAGATTGTTGACAAATTGGATCTTACACTAAAAAAACAGAATGTTGGAGAACAAGAGGTTAGAATTTTTGTCACTAATAATTTCGCATCGTTTTTATACCAACTATCTTTGTAGGTCTAGCACATTTGTAGAGTGTGTAGAAAATTGGTTTCTTCCACAGTAATATATATTGTTGATACTTTTGTAATAGCCTAATGCAGTGGTCGGCAAACTGCGGCTCGTGAGCCACATGCGGCTCTTTGGCCCCTTGAGTGTGGCTCTTCCACAAAATACCACACTCCTAATCAACTGCTTCCCACTTCTTCTCAATCAATGTCCTCTTTCTAAAATGGCTCAAGGTGCAGGGAGCATTGGCTAGCATGACATAGTCTAGAGAGATTTGACCATGAAGCTGGAGCTGACAATGTCCTAGGCCCGTGGTCGGCAAACTGCAGCTCAGCAAACCGCGGCTCGCGAGCCACATGCTGGTCTTTGGCCCCTTGAGTGTGGCTCTTCCTAAGCCTTAGGAGTACCCTAATTAAGTTAATAATAATGTACCTACCTATATAGTTTAAGTTTAAAAAATTTGGCTCTCAAAAGAAATTTCAATCGTTATACTGTTGATATTTGGCTCTGTTGACTAATGAGTTTGCCGACCACTGGCCTAATGTGTAGCAAATGTTATCACTAGATTTTTCAAAAGTAAGTAATTTATGTGTTTAATATGTTAAAAGAATTTTTGTGTAAAAAGTTGTGTACTTGGCTTCTTTTATTATTTGTTCCTTAGCAATAGTAAAACGTCAAGTCCTATTTTGTGCAGAAGTGACTTTGCAGTAGGATAAGGAAACCTGGTATTCCTTTTTATAGCTAAGGAAACTCCCAATTCAGGTGCACAGTATTAAATGTGTTCTTAAGATAGTAGAATATAGACCATAGTCAGGAAAGGACTGTTGTCTGTACCCCGTTTTCATGGCTTTAGAGTGCTAGCTAGGAGTTGCTCTGCTCTTACTTGAGGAGTTTTAGCAACAAAACACTATGGTGGGCCCAGTGATTTTTTTTTTAAACTAGATTATGCTTGTTAGAGTTAGTGCATATGTGTGATGCTGCAAAGTTAGGTAAGAGATAATGGGGAGGATATGCAGAGGATAATAAAACAGAAAAGGCCATTTGTCACATTGACTTAATAGTGCTTGTAATGTTGAAATTTTTATGCTGGTTGATGGGAACACCAGTGTGTGTTTTATTGCTTTTTGTGCTTTGTGTATGTATGAAATAATTTTAGCCTGAATTTTATAACACAAACTCAGTGTGTAACTTAATAGTCAGTTACTATTACTTAATTCTGTTAATTATTCCTGTTTCTTAGTTTGAAACTTCCAAGTCCATTATTATTGATGCTTTCTATAAACTTTAAGTTTGGAAATTCTACCTCTGTCATGGCATCATTGCTAGCTCCTTTAACAAATGATACTCCTCCCTTTGTATTTTTGTATCCATATCATTTTTTATCACTTTATTTTACCACTTCCCATATATCCTTTTAAAAGAAAAGATTTAGTGTTTTCTGTGAGTTCTATCATTTTTCTCAAATTGTAAGCTTTGAGGACTCATCTGTACTTTTCTCACTTTTGCATTCCTTCCTTATAACATCAGACCTTGGCTGTGAAGTCAGTTGGTCAGTTATATGTGGAATGAATGTGTGATTGACTGGTATAATGTTTGTTTTGGTACAATTTTTAAGGATGAAAATGAACCCACTGGTGTTTGGGTGATCCCGACTTCAGATCCAGCTGCTAATTTGTATCCTGCTAAACCTAAAGATTTTTCAGCTTTCATTAACCTGGTGGAATTTTGCAGGTATTTTTTTTTTTTATTTCTGATTATTTAAGAGAGAAAATTGTCAGTCATTGGCTATAATATAGGAAAAATTATTATATAGCTATAAGAAATAAAATAGCAAAAGACTTAAAAATCTAAATTGCTTCTATGAATTGTTAAAATATTTTAAATGTACTATTATCTTTATATTTAAAAGATCCTCAAGTAGCAAACAAAAAGGATTATAGATATACCTAAAAATATTATATAATGGAATCGTAGACCTTTTAATTATGTGCCGTATAATTTCAAAGCGGAATAAAAATAGTGTGATAAAAATTTCTACATTAAGCTTTTAATTTGTTTTTACAGAGAGATTCTTCCTGAGAAACATGTAGAATTTTTTGAGCCCTGGTTATACTCATTTGCATATGAATTAATATGTCAGTGTATACGGTTGCCACTCATTAGTGGTTTCTACAAATTGCTTTCTATTGCTGTGAGTAATGCCAAGAAAATAAAATATTTTGAGGTAAGTGTTTTTGCAGGACATTGAATATGCCTGTGTGTTTTTTTTTAGATTGCATGTATCTGTATAAATATTATAAAAATATGAGATTGTAGCATATTGCACTTTAAAGTCTAATTTTATTATCTGTACTAGAGGCCCGGTGCACAAAAATTTGTGCATTCAGGGGGGGAAGTAGCGGTCGTACGCTAATTACCATGTTTCTCTTTTATTAGTGTAGATTTTTAGAAACTGATAATGTGAGTGGCAATTGGATGACACTTAAAAAAGTTAACTAATAGTATTTTCTGTTCTGATTTACAAGCACCTGGCTAATTGTGTTAGATTAACAGAGGTTCTTTTTATGAAGATTTTTAAATTTTATTTTAATATTTTGTGGGTTTTTTTGTTTGTTTGTTTTTTAAAGAGAGAAATGAAGAGAGAGAGAGAAAAATAAAACACATCGATGTGAGAGAGAAACATCAATTGGTTGTTTCCTGCACACACCCCGACTGGGGATTGAACCCGAAACCTGGGCATGTACCCTGACCGGGAATCAATTAGTGAACTTTTGGGAAGGCACTTAACCAATTGAGCCACACGGGCTAGGGCATAACAGAGGTTCTTCTTCTTCTTTTTTTTTTGTTTGTATATTTTTATAGATTTCAGAGAGGAAGGGAGAGGGAAAGAGAGAGAGAAACATCAGTGATGAGAGAGAATCATTGATCAGCTGCCTCCTGCACACTTCCTGGGCTGGGAATCGAGCCCCAAGTCCAGGCATGTGCCCTGATCTGGAATCAAACTGCGAGCTCCAGATTCATAGGTCGACACTCAACCTCCAAGCCACACCAGCTGGGCCATACAGAGGTTCTTAAAGTGTGGGCCTTCGCCAGCAGCCCAGTGTTACTTGGGACATCTCATGCCCTCTCCAGGCTTATGGGAAGCTCTCGGGGCAGCACTCAGCAGTTTGTGCTAACAGGCCACTCAGGTGGCCACTCAAGTGGTTAGTGAAGTTTGAGCATAATTGGATCAGTGCACCTAAGGCTTACGTCATTCATGAGTATTCTGACTGGTTAATTATAGGATGAGCAGGTCTCATTGCTCATAAGTGTGTGTATTGGAAGATGGGGAAAGGGGAGTGGACTTAGTTAAGCCTGTGGCTCTTGACCAGCCATCCACCTCTCACTCATGCCGTTTCTCACTGGCCTCTGCCTGCTCATCTGCGTGAAACCTTGGCAAATGAATATGAGTTCACCTCTCAGAAGAAAGGAGGGGGGTTACTGGGCTTAGGACACAGAAATATCTGGTTATTTGTCACTGTACTAATTTACTATTTTATTTATCAGGGAGTTGGTCCTAAGAGTCAGAAACAGTCACCTGAGAACCCAGAAAAGTATTCTTGCTTCGCTTTATTTGCAAAATTTGGTAAAGAGGTAATTTTAAAATGATTTATCCACTGGGTTTTTAAAAAATGGGCTTTTAAAAAATGAATGTATGTTAAAAAAAATGTTTGTGTTCATAAATGATCTAATTACTTAAAAATTGGTTTGTTTTATCCAGATCCAGATTAAAGGATTAAGAAACACTAACAGGGCAAACCATTATGCTTCAAAAGTCCCTTGAGTTTTCTTAAAATAATTTGTGTGATGGAAACTCAAAATTAATAGATTCTTTAGCTTTTCCATATAATGGGATTTAATTACTTCAAATAAACTTTTCCTAGAGGTCAGTCTTTATTTGAAAATGAACATGGCCATGTCAAATAAAGGCTGCATTATCATTTTTCATATTTGAGAATAGGTAACTATTTTTTAGTTGATTTCAAAGCATAGGCGCTATTCAGATTTTTAAAAAAAATCTTTATTGTTGAAGGTATTACATAGCTTCTCCTTTTCCCCCCATTAACTTCTTCCAGCCCCCTCCCACCTCCCACCTCCCCAGGCCCATATATGCATAGCCCCATTCTCTGTGTCCATAGGTTATGCATATATGATTACAAGTTCATTGGTTAATCTCTTCCCACCCACCCTCCTCTGCCTTCCCTCTGAGGTTTTTCTCTTCTTTCTTTTTTAGGTATCAGTTAAAATGAAGCAATACAAAGATGAACTTTTGGCCTCCTGTTTGACCTTTATTCTATCCCTGCCACATGACATCATTGAACTTGATGTTAGAGCCTACGTTCCCGCATTACAGGTAAATGCATTGTCTTGAGAAAATCAATTTCATATATAGATGAATTCCTAGAAAACATGGAAATATCTGAAATATGCAATTTCTGAAATATGAAGGTCTTTTCATAGCAGTTACAGTAGATGCTTGCTAATCAGACACCCTGGTTTAAGTTCTACTTCTGCTACTTAGTAGTTTTGGGACTTGGGACACTTGTCTTGTCCTCTCTGAGCTTCCCTTATAGATGGATGTGTTGAAAGTCTGCAGCATGTCACCAGCCATATAGACTAGTGGTGCTGGGTTTTCTAATAATGACCTGGGATGCACCCACTTAACCTCTAGCAGGGTCTCGCATTCTGGCTGTAGAAAGGCTTATTTATTAGAAACCATAATTAATTGGTGGTGTTTTTTTCTTTAAATCTTAAATTACTGCGTCTCAGTTTACCATGTTTGTATTAACATATAGATGGCTTTTAAACTGGGCCTGAGCTATCCCCCACTGGCAGAAGCAGGCCTGCGTGCCCTAGAAGAGTGGTCGGCTCACATCAGTAAACAAGTAATCCAGCCCTATTACAAGGACATTCTCCCTAGTCTTGATGGGTATTTGAAAACTTCAGCCTTATCAGGTAAGGTTTAAAAGAATTACCTGTATCAAATAAGAGGGCAATGTAATAATTATAATAGGACTACTATTTGTAGTTTTGCAGTTTCTGAAATATGAACCCAACGTATTCAAAATATGTTTGATTGGTATTTTTGTAATCTCTCCAATTCATTTCAGTATAATTGGGACATGGGAAATATAACTGAGGCATTAGACTTATTGTTCATTTTATTTACTTACATTCTGCTAAGCTTTATAACATCTTCAAGGGCAAGAACTTATCATAAATACCTTGAACTCCTTATAGCTTTTGGTTCACTGCCTTATAAAAAACTAGAGGCCTGATGCACGAAATTCGTGCAGGGGGCTTGGCCCTCACAGCCTACGCGGCTTGCCTCAGCCCTCGCAGCTGCAGCATCTTGCCTTGGTCCTTGCAGCTGCAGCTTCGTCTGGAAGGTCGTTCAGAAGGACGTTGGGAAGGTTGTTCGGCTGTCTGGTCTAATTAGCATATTATGCTTTTATTATAGACCAAAGGTTCCCAAACTTATTTGGCCTACCGCCCCCTTTCCAGAAAAAATATTACTCAGCGCCCCCTGGAAATTAATTTTTTTAAAATTTTAATAGCAATTAAACAGAAAGATATATGTATTAATGTTTCTACCTTTTTCGTAAAATATAGTAAAGAAAGGTGTAAATTAGAAACATTGAAGTTTGAAATTATGAAACTATTTATTGAACTCAGAATAGAAAGGTAATACAAAAAAAGTTAAAACAAATGCACCTGTGGCCATCACCGCCCCCCCTGGATCGCTGCAGCGCCCACCAGGGGGCGGTAGCGCCCACTTTGCGAATCACTGAATTAGATCAATCAAAGTTAATGAGTAAACTTTCTGAATTGCTTAATACGTCCCAGATATGAGTATCAAGGCTTTAGCAAGGCAGGTGAAAACATTTCCATGAGCAAGAAGCAATTGAGGCCTTCCTCTATGAAATAAATTCTTGGTAATTCCTGTGGGAAACTTCCCTTTATCCTAACATCTTTCCTCTTCTTTTGCCTTGCCTTGTTCTCAGTGTTTTTAAAAAACACCAAATATAGCTTTATACAAATAGCTAGTAAGTGGAGTTGGGGAGAAAGCAATCACATAACCCCTCTATTGCAGCCTTGTAAATAAAACATAAGTTATATTACAAAGCCCCAGAGAAACATCACATGTTCCTTCTTCCTGGCGTAACTTGCACAGTCATTAAATGTGATTAAAATCTTGGGGACTGGACACAGTCATGTCTATTTCGGTACCACTGGCTTGATCTACCCCTGCGGCTTGAGGGGAATCACCCTCTTTGTGTAAATATTTGCTTTGTTGGAGATTCTTAAGCAGAAATTAACAGTATACATGCTTCAGGAGGGGTATCAGCCATGATAAACAATTCCTAGGCAATGTTTAGACTGGCCAAAAGTCATCCTAAGAATTGTGCACAAGGTTAGGACAAGACATTTGGCATCTATAAGCTAGAACTGCCTATAAAACAAATAGCAAAGTAGAGATCTGTCCATTAACCAGTTAATATAATTAATGTGTTGTGTCAGTGTAGGTGGATAACAAATTAATGACTAGACAAGAACCAAGTATCCACCTCGTTCTATGTGGTATATGTAGATCTGGTTAATGAATCATGAATGTTGGAACTCTTTACCAGCAGTTACAGAACACATTTGGATCTCCTAAAAATTCACTTCAATCTTTTGTTTGAAGTCATGTGTCAATATTCTGAACCCCTGTGACATCAACTACTACAACCGCTAAGCTATTAAAGAGCTGAAACTAATCAGGTAGAATTGGCAACAAAGGAAGTTTCAACACAACAGTCTGACTACCTTAACACTGCTAACCCATCCTTATAGAACAAACATTTGCTCTTAGCTTCTCTATGCTAAGTTTTGTGGGATCATGTAATCTAAATTTTTTTTTGCAAGTAAGGTATGTCCTCAAGAGGATGAGAGAACAGAGACCATGGAAAATAATCTGCCTATCTAAGGTTTGAGGATAGGATGGCTCCAGGATGACAATAATATTTGGACTCTTTTTCCTAAGTCAAAATATAGCCAACAGAATGTGTCTCTGTCCTTTATCCCACTTTATCTAAAATGTATGTAGGGTGTGTGTGTTGGGAGTCATGATAAAATTAGGCTCCTGATTCCTTTAAAAAGAATGAATTGAATGAACTCTCTTAACAAATTTTTATCCAGGTATTGTTAAAATAAAAATAAAGTAAAAATAGATTCAGAATTTAAAAAACATTAGTGACTCAAGTCATTTCCAGTGTTTAAATCAGGACTAATCACACAACTCTCAGTGCTAGCCCAAGTCCCTTCCACCTATTCTCCTCTCTGCCAATAGCCAGTTTTTGAGTCTATTTCAGGAAAGAGTCCAGAGCACGTTAGAAATCAAAATTAAACTTAAAATACTTCCTGAAGCATTACCAGAAATCATGTTTCAAATTTCTAAATGACTTGCATTGTTCTGTGTTCCCAGGCTGTGCCCATAACCACAGAGATAAATGGGCATTGGGACAACCACGTGAAGGATCAAGCTGCAACATGAAATAAGTGTACTGTTCAGCATGAGTCATTTGCAAATAGAAGAGAAGAATGGCTAGAAGAGATGATGGGACCTGACAACAATATTTCAAATAAAACACAAGGAACTTGTCTATATTTGCTTTCAGTTCATGAAATACCACATGAACTCAATGTTTGAGAACCCGCTGGCTTTGGATCACCCTGATTCAACAACCCAAGAAATCATATCCTCGGGTCTACAGCATTACCAGCGGTTCATAACTTAGGCTGCACAAGAGACTCACTGAGGAAGTTTTTGGTGGTTGTTTTTTGTTTTTGTAATACCCATGCCTAGGCCCAGACACCAGATACTTGAATTAATTCATAGGGTGGATGCCAGGCATTTTTTAAAGCTCCGTAGGTCAGTGGTTCTCAACCTTCTTAATGCCGCGACCCTTTAATACAGTTCCTCATGTTGTGGTGACCCCCAACCATAAAATTATTTTCGTTGCTACTTCATAACTGTAATTTTGCTACTGTTATGAATCGTAATGTAAATATCTGATATGCAGGATGTATTTTCATTGTTACAAATTGAACATAATTAAAGCATAGTGATTAATCACAAAAACAATATGTAATTATATATGTATTTTCCGATGGTCTTAGGCGACCCCTGTGAAAGGGTC